TTGTATAATTGTTTTTTTTTCACACAAATAGAGCTTTCTTTTGGTGGTATTTGATCACCACTGGGGTTTTTTATTTTTTAATATATAAATTATAAAAAGACTGAAAATTTAGAAAAATGTATATATTTTTCACTTTCTGAAGTCGCCTGAGGAGCACTGAGTGTCCCTCTGAGTGAGGCTTTGGAACATAGAATCTTCACATAAAGCGTGTTTTGACTTCTCTAATGCTGTCACACTCATTGTGGTGTACATACATGTGCCATGGTGGAAAGAGCACTTGGGTGTTTTTCTGTCTGGAGATCATCATTGTTTGAAAATTATTACACAGTGGTGAATATATTGCTTTGTATGGACTTTGATTACATGTTGGACTGTTTATTATTTATTTTAATATATAGTTTAATAACTATATTAGTGCGGCATATGCTTTCGATTGTTTCATATATACTTGGTACATCCTTTACCTTTTATGTGCTGCTGTTTTTTCATTTTCACCAATTTTTTTTTGTTTCCTTTTGTGAAGTGATTTTTGGTTTATTGAATTACTGTGACAGACAGAATCCAAAGCAGAAGGCCTCGTTCACACAGGACAATAACATGCATGCCCCATTCAAGGCCATGTGTGGGTGCATGGGCTGTGGGTCCCCAAATGCTCCCAGGATGAGTTGAAGGACTTGCACTGGCAGGCACCTGCACCCACACGGATGTCCTATTGGGACACAGCTGCTGTGTCCACGCAGCCACGCATCCCAATGGGACGCCAGCACAGGGATTCACGCAACACCAGTACACCTCCATGCCAGCAAAACTCTGCACTGCATTCACACATGTCATTGTCCGGAGGAACAAGGCCTAACAGGATTTCCACCACTGTTCTAGACCTTGAAAAAGAAAAGGTTAAAGATAACAGTGTTGTATAGCTGGGTAACATTTGAAAACATTACAGTGAATTATAAAATGGCTCACTTAGTCTATTTTGACAACAGAGATAGATGTATTTGTGAACATTTGCCAGTGCCATCTTGCTAACTATTCAGATGCAATCACGTCATTTTACTTAATTATAAGGAAGAAATCCTGGTAGAGCTGCCAATATTGCAATTTGTGCTTTAATACCAAAGTGGTCCTTAAATCCAGCCAATATTTTGGCAGAACATCTGTCTTCTATAAGTCTGAAGATGGGCATTTTAATCTTCTGCTCCCTTCCCAACAATTATGCTGTTTCATTAGCTGCTTTCTCTTTTAGCTGTTGTAATAAAAATAAGATGCTACATAACATTGACAAGGTTTTCTGGCAAAATTAGATAACCACAATGCCAAATGCCATCCAGATATACAACACCTAATCAGCTGCCAAGCTGGCACTCCTAAATCTTATGTTGAAGTGCTGCATATATGAATATTTTTTTCTGGTATTATCAGTGTTATTAAATTGCTTTCAGTATATACAGCTATAAGATCAATGTACTGTAAAACATTCACTACATAATTAATTTTCTGTATGTTTTCAAGAGGACATCTGCTCAGTAGATTCTGAGAAAAGCTTTTCTGTTTAAGAATATCGTTTATTTCAAATTGATTTTTTTAAACAAATATCATGTTAGTTGCTGATTTGCATTAGTAATGTCTTCCTGCATTAGAGAAATCAATTGACCACAAAATACCACTAAATATAATGCTGATGATTTTAGGCACTGTAAGAGTATTCGCTATGACTTGTGACAGCCTATATTCAAAAATAAAGTTATGTCACCAACACAATTTGTCCAACTTAAATATTTCCCTGATTTTTTTGTCCTCAGTAAGCAGGATAATGTTCACAAAAGCAATTTCAGATATAAGAAATGTATTTATAAGTGCTAATTCACATATTTGCACTCTTACCAGCTATAGAAATTTCTCCTTGTAAAACTGGACACACATATAGACTGGACCCTTGTCAAACATTATATGGTGTAGTCACATGACAATCATGTAAAGTAGAAACTCAAACACTAAAATCTCATATTATACTTGACATGCTAATTTAATTTCTTTTACAAAGGGTTTTATTATAGAATAAGCAGAAATGTACACACATTCGGGGAAGATATACATTCACCCACAAATATGGGGCATACAGGGCATTTTTAGAAATATTACAGAACAATATACTGGTATAAGCATAAACATAATCTGAGCTTTTAAGTATCATGTGGGGGAGGACAGAGAGAAAAAAAAAAAGGGGGGGGGAAGGGTAAGGGGGAAACAATGAGCTAACATTTGGAGGTCAATGAAAATATAAACTCCACCCGAAATTTTTGCTATATCAGCGTAAGAAAAACCGGAGAGGCCAGAGGGAAGGTCCCTCCAGATATTAACATATATATTCCAGACCTTGGGCTCACAAAGGAGTCCGGATCGCATAAGCAGTATTGCTGATGTAGCACTTAGAGCAATGAGCACAGTCATTACAATTCGCATAAGAAGAGATTAGACAGAAGAATAGAAAGAAACAAACGACGAGAAAACGAGGACAGAACCAAAACATAAAAACAAATACAATCAGAAAAGGGCTCCAGGGTGATCGCAACAGAATCGATCCTCAAATCGACATTAGGGACTAGTCGAATCTCGATGGGTGGGCTTCTGACAGCCAGGGACGCCATACCTGCAGGAATTTTGTATGGGTATCCAACAGTATAGCTGTCAATTTTTCATTGACCATGATGAAGTTCATCCGATTTTTGACAGCCTCGAAACTGAGAAGAGGAGTCTTCCAAGCCCTTGCAATAGTTAGTTTAGTAGCCATAAATATAATGTGATGCCAGCTGCCATTCAGGGCGGAGAAGGCCCTCCAGTGGTTTAAATAGGAGCGGTTACGTTTAATGTCTGCGTGTAACATAGTGCGGAGAAGGGCATACACCTTGATCCACAATCTGCTAACCTTAGGGCAAGTCCACCAAATGTGACCCATAGTACCCAGTTGTTGGCACCCCCGGAAACAAGCTGGAGAGTATGTGGGAATAAAATTAGCTAAACGAGCAGGCGTATAATACCATCGATAAAGAATTTTGTAAGCGTTTTCAAGAATGATGACATTCCTCGAGCATTTAGCTATTGCTTGGGTCATAGTCCACCAATCCTGCTAATTTAATTTCAATAAACATTGTCAATCTTTTTAAATCTACAGCTTTGAAAAAATACATGGTAATCCTGCCATGAAGGCATTTCCTGTTAAAGGGTAAGTTCACCATTTGTAATATGTTGCATGTTACACCCATATTCAGGGTGTAACATGTAACATGTTACTGTAGCACCACCCCCAAACACACACACACATGCACACATAACCCCCCAGTCCCCGTTTTGACAGCTAGTGGGGAATCTTCTCCCCTCGCTTGCTGTCACAAACTAAAAAAAGTGCGTCTGTGTGGGGCTCCGCCTGCCTGGCCACATCATTCATTCACCCTGTTCTGTAAATGGGAAAACTGTAAGTCCTGACAGCCTTTGAGAGCACTGTTGATCGCTCTAGGTAGTTCATTGAGTGCAATTGCCTGCCCATATCGGAGGTACAGACAATCTGCAGGACATGCTGATCATGGGTGCAATGCTTTACAGGTCCCTAACAAAAAAGAATAATATAATAAATGCATATTTTTTTACCTGCAAAAAATGTGCATTTAACATTTTTTTTTTTTTTTGTAGATGTGAACTTGATATCCTTTAGCCAGGTGCCTACTGGGCACTTTTAACCCCTTCCTGCTCAGGCCAATGTTTAGCTTTCAGCGCTGTCACACTTTGAATGACATTTGAATGACATTGAAAAAATTACATTTGTGATATTTCAAAAAGAACTGAAAGGACTCCCAAAATATTTTAAACGCTGCTTTATTTATTATTTGTGTTTTTCACATATTAATTGTTTTTTCTTGATGTTTGAGAAGCGCAGGACTATTATTTATTTTGATACCAATAAAATATTGCCATGGACCCCAACATCACATACATTGACATGTAAATTTTGGGGGTGGGGGGTAGCAGCAGAACACATTACCCCCTTCTGTCACTGAACTGAAAATGCAGAACACTCTGACCAGAGTGGTACTATCATTCCCTCTCTGTGCAATGCACTGGAAACCTGCTGAGTGCCACTGCAGTGTTGCTTCCTCATAGACCTTTGACTTCTATGACATCACATGAGCTTGCAAAGTGAACATTGGTGGAAGAACCCCTGCACTCTTTTCTTTCACCATGTCCTTATGCAGCATTATATCTTTCCACTCAACTCACTCAGCATAGTAATATGTGTCAGAGACAGCAGAATGTGAGAGGATGTCACTTTTCTATGTTCTATGTTTCTATCTAGGATGAAGCAATATAAGGAGTTTGTGTGCTGAATAGAAGCATGCTGATAGGAAGGTAAAGCAGAGTGACAGACACATGAGCTCATTACTTTGTTGCTTCTCCTTTTGCTGTCCAGTCACAAGCTGGGGTGGGTTCAGGGGAAGTGGATTGAATAATGTTGGCCATCAGGACAATTTTCGTCAGAAAAATGCACTGCAGGGGAAATTTCTAGATTAATAGTTACGATCGCAGCTAAAGCTGGGTTTGTTATTTTATTATTTAATAAAGGAAATTTACGTACTTTTTTCCCCACGAATTGAGCTTTCTTTTGGTGGTATTTCATCGCCTGTACGTTTTTTATTTTTTGCGCTATGAAAAAAAAGACCAACAATTTTGAGAAAAAAAAAACAATATTTTTGCTGTTAAACATGTCCAGTAAAAAAAATTTTAAAAATCAAATTTCGTCATAAATTTAGGCCAAAAATATATTCTGCTAAATGTCTTTGCTAAAAAATTGGTTTACCTGAAAGTTATAGCGATTACAAATGCAGATATATACTAAGATTGTTTTTTTTATTATTTTTACTAGTAACGACGGCAATCAGTGACATTTAGTGGGACTGGGGGGTTAGTGTTTACAAATGGCGGTATATATACTGGGATTTTTTTTTCCATTTGTAGTAGTAATGGTGGCGATCAGTGACTTATTGTGGGACTGTGCGAACATTCTGACACTGGGGGGAACTGACTTGATGTCACTGACATCCCCAGTGACACCAATACAGTTATCAGTACTAAAAAAAGCACTAACACTGTACTAATGGTACTGGACAGGAAGGGGTTAACATGAGGGGCGATCAAAGGGTTAACTGTGTGCAGGGAGTGTTTTACTAGGGGGCAGTGTCTGTGCTTCACTGTGTGCTTCACTGTAAGCACACTGCTTTGGATGACTGTGCTGTGCACAGCCATCCAAAGCAGTGTGCCTTAACTGACAGGGAGGAGAACTGTTAGTAAACGAAACAGTTCTCCTCCCCTTCAGATATCCTCTGTAATCACCGGGCGCTGGTGAGTAATCACTGGCCAGGATTGACAGCTGCGGCCGCGAATGGCAGCATGGGTAGGGCACGCGTGCCTCGCATGCACCCGCTACCCCAAAATGGAAATCCATGTATATATACGTGATTTTGCACACCCATGCCTCCCTGTGACAGTATGTGTGCTATAGAGCGGTTAGGAAGCGGTTAATGAACGGATCATTTTATCTTGTTATGATTAGCTAAAGTTCTTCTTTAATTATTTTATAGGGGATTTAGTGTAAGTTGCTCATGTACAGTTTTGCGTTCCTGCAATCTACACTGTTTCCCAACAACACATCATTGCAATGTTCACATATTTGCTATCTATTCACTCAATATATTTTTTATTTTATACATCCAGTAGGAATTCTAATGCTTATATTGCATCTGTGTGCTATTAATTATTTTACTATACTAAGCCCTGGTTCACAATAGTGTGATTTTCTAGCAACATACCACATTCGGGTGACATGTAAAATCTTAGATGAAGTGATAACACATAGATTTTAATGGTGCTGTCTTAATTGGCACGAATTGATACAATGCGACAAAAAAAACTACTTTCACCAGCAAGTCATACATTTGTCTTAATTGCAGCTACTTTTCTGGGACTTTTGAGGCAGTGTTTTTTTTAAACCCTCATCTCTCCTCCTTGGTCATCCTTACTGCCTGAAAACTTCAGACCTGAGCGTAGTGGAAATGCACATTCCCACTCACTTGTTTTTGCATGTTTTACAAGTGAAAAATGCATCACATATAAGGCAGCCCATTTACTTGAATGCCCTATGCGCAACAAACATCCCAAAGTAGCTCAAGAACCTTTTTGGTCATGGAGCCTTTGCCATTAACAATTAGTCTGCATTCACATCTGTGTGTTTCCAAACACATGGCAATCTGCATTTTGGAAACATGCAGCGAACACGCGTCACGCATGCATTGCCATTTAGGCAGCATTCGCATCTGCATAATTACGAATGCACGCAACCCACACAAAAAAAACGTATGCTTTGCCATTTTGAAAATGTGCAGCAACACCTACCAAAGGCACATCATGCTCACTGGCATCAGTGCCATTTAGGCTGTGTTCTCATCTGCACTTTTGCAAAAGCGTGGCAACTCGCACAGAGAACACAAGCTTTGCTCTGCATTTCAAAAATGTACGCCAAAGTGTGTCTTGCATTTGTTACCATTCATTAACATCTGTGTGTTTCCAAACGCACAGCAATCCATAAGAAAACGCATGCATTGCCGTGCATTTTGAAAACCTGCAGCAATGTGCTTGTGTTACCATTCATTTGCATCCAGGGGCGGGCTGACCATTTGGAAACTCGGGCACTGCCCGAGGGCCCGGGGTCAGTGGAGGGCCCCATAAGATGCCCCTGGTACCTTTTTCATTGGCTTTTTTGAGTTTGGGCAAGGACACAGGGGCCCCATGATCCCCTATTGCCCGGGGGCCCCATGAGTTGTCAGTCTGCCCGTTTGCATCTGCATGTTTCTGAAAGCACAGCAACCAGCAAGAAAGGGCATGCTTTGCTGTGCTTTCAGAAAATGCAAGCTAACATGTATCATGCTTGCATTACCATGTATGCTGCATTTGCATATATGCATTTCTGAACTTGTGACAATATGCGCTTTGCCACACATTTCGGAAACGTGCATCACACTTGCCTTGCCATTTCTGGAATGCATGGCAAAGCATGTGTTTTCTGTATAGGTTGCCACGCGTTCGGAAACATGCAGATGTAAATGAATTCTAATTGCTAATGACACCCAAGCATAGTTATTAGATGTGAGTTTTTGCCATGCGACAAAGTGCTATCAATGGACTGCCCTATATGTGATGCACATTTACGCTTTAAAAAATGGGCAAAGAAACTCAAGCAGGGACACTCATTTCTGCTACGCTCAGATGGAAGTTTTTAGGAAGCAAGGATGACCAAGGAGGGACACAGATCCATCAAAGTCATCTAGGAATGCTTCTTATCAGTAAAGTCACTTTAAGATCACTTTTTGAAGTTGCACCATGTGGCTGGGGAACCATACAGGCTGGAAGTCACACCTTTCATGTCATGCTAGTGTGAATCAGGGCTAAATGTTGTTTTGACAAATATTAGTGCAGTTATCATGGGATGTAAAAATCAACAATACAACAATATAATCTTTTAGTTGCATAAGTCAAGTTCAGCTGCTTGAAGCAGTGCCTGGCAGCTAAAGGGTTAACTTACTATGCATAAAAAGCATCCACCTAAACTGGAGGACTAACACTTTCTTTCTTTTTCTTATTCTTTATTTTCCCACACAGTAGAATCAACAAAACAAAAGAACCTACCTAGGAACTCAATACATTAAAAAATTATGGCAGCTTTGTATTCTTGTACACTATATTTATTTTATTTTTTTTAATTTAAACTCAAGCAGCGTAAAAAAACATGTGTTTGACTTGATATCAGCCTTTTGCAATCCTTTGTATGGCAGAGCTCAGACTGAAAGAGGGAAAAGCAGCACAAGAAACCCATCAATTGTGTTGCAATGCTCATGTGCTAGCAGGGAACATGCTGATACATATGAAAAGAAAGTAGAATCATGCCTATATCCAGGTAAAGACTCTGGACGTGTTGAACATGTCCAGAAAAATGTCATCATTGTACACAGGGTGTGTGTAATATGTCCAGTCTTACTGCCCTATTTCCAGGACCTCCCCTGTCCCAGTACTCAGCAATTCACCTCTGATTAATCAAAGCGGCATTGCTGAGCACACTGAGAAAGTTCTGACAGCTGGAGCTGTCAAAGAAACCCAGTCTGGCAAAGTTTATCAAAAGCATTGCTAAAAAGAAGCAATGTTTCATTTTGTATCTGTTTATTCATCTACAGATCAAAGAGATGAACTTTGATCTGCAGATGAAGTCAGTCAAAGCCACCTGTCAAGTAAAAAAAGTTTTATTTTTTTAATTAAATGTTCCTCTGTTTAACCCCTTAATAATCCTTAGATTACTCTGGTCAACCCTAATGAACTCCTTATTTTCCTTTGCCATTCAATTATTATTTTCCTGCTGATTTTTTTTCTGTTAGTTTCTATTTTATTAACTAATAATATTTAAACTTTTTGTTGGTTGTGTTCATCAACCACTTGCCCTCCTGAGGATTTACCCCCCCTTCCTGACCAGGCCATTTTTTGCAATACGGTGCTGCGTTACTTTAACTGACAATTGCGCGGTCATGCACCAAAATGAAATGTATGTCCTTTTTTTTTACCACAAATAGAGCTTTCTTTCAGTGGTATTTGATTGCCTGTGCGGTTTTTATTTTTTGTGTTGTAAAAAAAAAAAAGACTGACAATTTTGAGAAAAAAAATAAAATTTTTTACTTTTTGCTATTAAACATGTCCAGTAAAAAAAAAATTTAAAAATCAAATTTTGTCATAAATTTAGGCCAAAATGTATTCTGCTACATGTCTTTGCTAAAAATGAAAATCCCAATACGTGTAAATTCATTGGTTTATCTGAAAGTTATAGTGATTACAAATGGCGGTATATATACTGGGATTTTAAAAAAATGTTTATTTTTACTAGTAATGGCGGTGATCAGCGACTTGTAGCGAGACTGTGAGGGGCATGATTGGTGTCACTGACATCCCCAGTGAAACCAATACAGTGATCAGTGCTAATAAAAAGCACTGAAACTGTACTAATTAGGGGCGGACTGACAACTCATGGGGCCCCCGGGCAATAGGGGTTCATGGGGCCCCTGTGTCCTTGCCCAAACTCAAAAAAGCCTATGAAAAAGGTACCAGGGGCATCTCATGGGGCCCCCTACTGACCCCGGGCCCTCGGGCAGGGCCCGAGTTTCCAAATGGTCAGTCCCACCCCTGGTACTAATGGCAGGAAGGGGTTAACATGTGGGGTGATCAAAGGGTTAACTGTGCTGTGTGCTGTTTTACTGTGTGCTGTGTGTGTGCTTTCAACTGTAAGCACACTGCTTTGCATGGGCCATGCAAAGCAGTGTGCAGGAGCTGACGGGAGAGAACTGTATTGTTTACGTACAGTTCTCTCCCTCTGTTAGTAATGCTCCTCAATCACCGGGTGCTGGCGAGTAATCACCGGCCGGGACCCAGTGACTGACAGCCGAGGCCGCTATAGGGCTGCGGGAAAGCTGTTAATATTTTTCCACTTTTGACATATATTTACAAATTTCACATTTAAAAAAGCAGAAAATGAAAAAAAACACTTAATTTCATTTGTAAATAACTTTGCAATGCTTTGTACCAACATCATAACTTTAGTGTCATTTTAAAACAGGCCAAATTACAGAATAAAATGCATACTTTTTATGTGCAGTAACACTTTATTTTTAAATTAACGCTGCTTAAAAAAGAAACCGTGTGTACTGTTACATTTTGTTATGTTTAATTGTTCTGGGGTTTTGCCAAAAAAAAAAATCAGTGTTTAGGAGAATAAAGCATTGTTTGTTCTTAAAAAAAAACAATGTATACGTTACTTTTTTATCTTAGGTAATGACAGAGTAATCAGAGAATAAACAGGTCCATAGCAGAAATGTAAAAAATTGCTCTGGTCCATAGGGAGTGAACTGGTGTGAGAGGTGAAGTGGATATAGAATAGAAAGGAATTCAGATCTCTTGACAGGTGAAACAGCCCCATATATGTAGTTAGCTGTGTTCCTGCAGATGAGCTTTAATACACTGCTATAATTTTGTAACTACCTGGCATCCCAAAGCACGGCCTTTGTCCCTATTGTTTTTACCTTTCGTAACTAGTTTGTAAGTTCAGAAATATACCAAACAACAGATTGGTCAAACAGTGTATAAAGTAAATTAGGATTATGGCATGTTGTTAGAAAACTACTGGCGTTTTCATGTGCCTAGGACATGCTCTGCACATTTACTATACATTAACAATGCCTACAGTTGTATATTTGGCCAAAATACACATAAAAAAGACAT